GTAGCGATGGTGAAACGTTATCCAAACAGGTATTTGTGTAGGTGACGGACGACCCAATACAGCTAGTTCTTCTTTATGAGTCTACGAACGTCATCAGAATACATAACTAAATAACAGAGATCTAGTAAAACATTATTCGGGGACAGACAGTTCTATTAATTGGTCATAAGTCTTAAGCAGATGAGAATCAGCACGAAGGCCCCCGGTGAAAGGGATTTGTTTTAATGCAATAATCATTTCAATGCGCTCCTTGGCGCAGCATCGGTAAGCCCACGTGATAATGGATGTTCACGCTCACAAGCATAAGCGCTCAAAGCTTGATGTTGGGGTAATTGTCTTGTAAAGATTGGTAATGGTTTAGGCTATCCAAGCATCGGAGCCTATCGCGGTAATCTCGGAAAACAAGAAACCTGTTCTGGATTGTAGCCAATGGCCCCTGCTCCTGAAGGTATGCGGAAATTAGTCTGTTCCTACTGTCTAGAATGTTCATCTCATGAACGTGCGAGAGTGTCACTTCGAGGCTGACACTACAGGATACTCTCCACTACATCGACCAATCGATGAACATATACAGTAGGTTTTACCTTCGTTTATATAGCTTTGTAGAACCGGTGTGATAAATCTTGACAAGCCCTCTAATCCATCATCGCATGAGGTTGTTGCTTGGGTCAAGCGTGCTCTCGGCGTCGGGAAAACGGGTCACAGTGGAACTTTGGACCCGAAAGTTACCGGTAAGTCAACATTCGACAACTCACGTTTCAGGTTGTTTGATCGTTTGCATCGACAGGGCCACGAGGTTAGTCAAGTCACAACAGAGCGCCGGGAAGGTCTACATCGGTATTTTCCGACTGCACGAAGCACTGGACAGCTACAAGCGCGTTAATAAGGTAAGTTAGAGTCTTACGCTACGTTAGACTTCGGATGTTTATTGCCGGCTTGCTTCCGGATGTTCAGTCATGTTCCTCCTCCTTTTAGGCTGTGGAGACACTTTCCGGTGCTCTTTTTCAACGTCCACCACTAGTCGCTGCTGTTAAGCGGCAGCTTCGCGTTCGCACGGTGTACGAAAACAAACTGCTGGAATATGATAAAGAGAAAGGGCTCGGTAAGTTTGTTATTCATGCGTTTATTGGTAGGTGTTATCCGTGTCACATGTGAGGCTGGCACTTACGTTCGTACTCTTTGTGTTCACATTGGACTGCTTCTTGGATGCGGGGGAGTCATGGAAGAGTTGCGCCGTGTACGGTCAGGAATAATGTCCGAAGAGGTAAGGGTGCTTTGGTAACGGCCAATTTGCAGGATAATCTTGTGACAATGCACGATGTTTTAGACGCAAAGTGGCTTTACGACAACCGTAGAGATGAGTCTTATTTGCGTCGCGTCATTATGCCGCTTGAGAGGTTGCTTACTAACTACAAGAGAATCATGCTGAAAGATACAGCGGTAAGTGTTTATTTCGCCATATATTTCGTGAGTAGGTCAGTGCTATTTGTTACGGTGCGAAGTTGATGTTACCGGGCGTATTGCGTTACGACAATGATATAAATGTAAACGATGAAATAGTCCTGATCACAACCAAGGGCGAAGCGGTTGCCATTGGTATGTTTTACGGACGACAGTATTCATTAGGCTTTACTTGCAGCTATTGCTTTGATGACAACTGCAACCATTGCAACATGTGATCATGGCCTTGTTGCAAAGTTGAAACGTGTCATAATGGAGCGTGATCTTTATCCTAGACAATGGGGTCGTGGTCCTGTGGCGTTGGAGCGCAAGAAACTGGTCGCACAGGGACTATTGAGCAAGTATGCCAAATCTAATGAAGTCCCTCCAATTGTTGGAACTGCTGCGAAAAAGTGAGTAGGTTTTTTGCTCAAACCCAACTCTTTCAGTATCATCCAAGAAGCTATGAAGTCCGAAGACACCACTACACCCAGCAAGTATGTCCAGTCATTATTCAGTTTCACACTCCTAGGCGGAAATCCAAGTCTCCTGTACCTGTGCCGGTTGTCTCAAGTGACTCTAGCGATGAAGAAGAACCCCCCATGTGAGAATGTATTTTTATTTATTTTCATCAAAGATGTACGATGACCAAGCATATGTCTGATTGTTGAGGATGTTTAAAACTGAGGAACTATGAAATAGTGTCAATATTAGTTTCTCTATTGTTCTAATGCAATGCCTTTTTCTTTTCAGGGAAGAGAGCTCCAAAAAGAAAACACACAAGCGTCCGCCACCATCTTCATCCGAAGACAGTGACTAGAGTTTTTCTCTTGTACAGTGTACCTATGACAAATGTAATTTTCTCACTGATATTCAAGTGGTTTTCGGCGTGTAGAGGGATGCCTTTGTTAGCAGCATTTTTCGCCGTATGCAATGTTGAATTTTCCACAAAAATTCAATAGAGCAGGGATAATTAAGAGGAGCCAATATACTTGGGCTGGTTGTGTACTGTTGGACGGTTTCCGTCTCGGTAACACTACATTAGGTAGCTATGAAAGAGATTGAGAGAATACACTTCACGTTGAACAGTGGATGTGAGTTGTCATTGTCGATTTTGAAGGATGGAGGTTGTGTGCATTCAATTGCATATGCATTGGAAAGAGCTCAGTTTTCGAGTCGTGAAAAGACTACCTCCAATTGGAGATTTTTTTCTTTATAAGCATTATTGTAACATGATTTGCCTGGCACCTGTTCTGAGACAAGTGTGGACTAAATGCCAACCCCCGCAATTGTGAGCAAACTGGCATTCTCGAGTCCGGGAACGCGAAGATATTTCTCCTAGGTGAGTCTGACATCCCTTTATCGTTTTTCCCAGTTACAAGATGAACAAGCATATGCCTGATTGTTGACGAAAGTCCTGTCTGAGCATGTTGTCAATATCTATTCCTGGTTTTTGTTGCGATTGTTACAGTATGTGTTGTTTGTTTTGCAGGTCTTGCTCGCGGTGCGCAACTGGTTCCGTTCTAAGGTACGTTCAATTAGTGAAATGTTTTTCGTTCCTCGTGATGATCAAGCATATGTCTTAAAATTGACGAATAATTTGGCTGATATTTCACCAGTCCTCTAGCAACCGAGCATTCGCTGCGTTCGGCTTAAAATTTATTTTCTTTTTCCAGGTAAACCCTTGATCGGCGCGAGAAAAGAGGTGAGAACGTGTGATTGTCTTATTGTGTTCAGCGATAGGAAAATGCATTTTGAATAAACTCAGTTGAACATGGTGTTAGTGACTGGTGATCATGAGGTTTTGAAATGTACTACGTCTAATCATCAGCAGTGTCTGAGAGAACAAAGCTGGTGGTAGCAACCAAATGTTTAAGCAGAAGCCTGTGGATTATCAATCCCCTTGATACGGATGAGACATTTTCAAATTGTTCAACCTTTAATTTTATGATTTCGTCAAATGTTTGATCATTTGCCTGTTTTTACTTTTCAGATAACTGAGGAAGAAGAAAAATCCAGTACTCATTAGTAACTTCCGATTCTCTTTAAAAATATATCGGATTTCGTGAGCTTGTGGTTTTAGAACCTACTGTCGGAGTTCTTGGGTGCTGCCTCCTACAGCCGGTGGCTTAAATAATGAACTAAATTGGGATTCTAGACAGTTACTTTAGTGGTCATCTGGAAACCCGAAGAAGATAAAGTATTACGTAAGGGAGCTGGCGAGGATCGCTGATACCGTGCCTCCACCTCACTGAACGATAGTCGGTGTTTGCGGCGTTCACACATCAAAGTTCGTTTTGATGAACATGAACGCTATTGTTCTATTGGCTTCTCTACACGGAACCCCAAATTGACTCCGTTGGAGATCACAATGGTTGTTGTTCGGAAGAACTAAAGTTATGAGCGTTACGATGTTATTGAAAGGACGAATAGTTGAATTTTACAACCATTTAACGTGATATCCTGCGCCGGTTTTTTTGTTACAAAGTGATTTTTTTAGCAAAAGGGCTTACACCTCATTATCATTTTATTTTAAAGGGGAGGTGTGTGGTAGGAATCAATTTGTTGGTCGTGCTATTGGAAAGGGTGAGTTCATAGAAGCTTGAAAAACAGAAAGGGGGAGTGTTCTACAATTGAACACCGGGAAAAAAGATTGACAGATGGATGTCCGACATCTGAGGGCAGAAACCTGATAAGTGACCGCCCACCTGAGAGCGGTATGGACGATTCCAGGTGAACGGGAGAGGACTTTCGAAGGTGTACCCGTTGTGTGTTTAGAATATGAAGCGAAAAATGGCAAGCTAGGAAGCACTGGTTAGTTGTTTCGAACTTGTTGGGTCTCATCAACAGTGCGTATTGTTGAAGCGGGTGCGGAAGAGCAGAAACCTAAATGGTAACGGTAGAAGAGGAATGACAAAGCAACTGCAGCGAACGGTGAAGCTCACTTCACTATCTCGCTCTACGGTGATGGTTATGACGGTCAGTAGGGTGGCCTTACGATGACCGCGGTCTTGGAGAGAGCAGAATACTAGGCTCCAGCCCCTACCTGACAGTAGTATTCGATCGTCGGGCCTATTTGTTCTTTGTAAAGAAAGAGGTGTATAGGTGTAAGGAAACGCTTTGCGCAAAATTGAAAACTGACTGTGCTCAGCGCAAGAGTTAACAGACAAATTTATGGATAAACAAGAGGGAGGGGAATTCTTCGTACGAAGGGGCGTAGAGAAAAAAATCAGTTGAGGACAGGGGACACGTTAAAGAGAAACTGAGAGGAGCGAGGATTTGGAGGCATTAAAACACGGTTCGTGAAACCCCATGCGTAGGTTTATCCGAGATGGGAGACTAGAGAAGCATTGATGGCATTCCGGTCGTGGGCGATATCCGTAGTCGCTTGACGGATTGTGGGGTAAGAAATGGAACAATGGACATGAGTAGATGTTTGAGACCAA